CACAGAGGGAAGAGGACCAAGCAGTGGGGGTAAGGTGAGAGATGGCGATGAAGACAGGTGAGGGAGGAGACGGAGAACAACAGCATCTCGAGGCAGTGAGGGAGCAGAGACAGCAGTGGCTGAAGAGGGGTGACACAGGGCACGTGCTGTCCCCAGCCCCCCCCAACACCGTCAAGGTGGTGCACGGGCATTTTCTTGGTACACTGGCTACAACTGAGTCGTCTTGTAGATATCTGAACAAATACCTTCAAGGTCACAGGAGGTCTTCTGTGGTGGCTGTGGAAATCTGGACATGTCCCTCATTCCTCTCGGCCTCCGGGCACCTGTCCACCCCATCCTCTGCTCTCCTGGCTCTGACTCTTGCAGCTCCCATTTGTAGGGTGACAGGACACAGGGAGGTCCCTGAGTCCCGGCATCACCTGGTTGCAGTTATGTGACCGCTGGCCCCGACCTCCTGCCACCTTCCAGCTGTGGAGGTGGCCCAGAGGGTGGCACTTCCTTCCCCACGCCCATCCCACAAGGCATTCAGTGCTACCTAAAGCCTTCCAGAGGCTGGGTTGCCCCCTGCCAGCCCCTGGGGATTTGGGGGGAGCCCCTGGCCTTCTCGGAACCCCCTTGCCCAACATCTTCTGTGCTCCCCCTTCCCAGTGGCCCCCCTCAGTCTCACCTGCCACCACCAAGTTCCTCCTGCTATTCCCTGACACTGCCCCCTTGAAACACCACATTGTGGCCCATTTCCGCTCTCCTGAGTGGTCCAGGGGTCTTGGGCACAGGTGGCCATGTGGTCCCGGTCCTTGGGGTGGGCATGGGGCTGGGGCACCCATGTCCAGGAGGTGGCCCCGAGCAGCCTGCCCAGGGCAGCAGGGATCCTGCCTTCCTTAGCCCAGGCCACCACGTGGGCTGTGCTGTGAAAGCGGTCACCCAGGGAAGAAGGGACATCCGGAGCCCTGACAGAGCTGTGGGGCCTGAAGAAAAGTGTGCATGGGGTTGGACAGGGTGAGGGTCATCTCCTTCAGCACCATAACGGAGGGGGACAGATGGAGGACAGGAATTACCATGTGCCGAGTGCTGAGGATGCTGCTGATCCTGTTCCCCCGTTTACATATACCTGTCACCACCCAGGGAGCCCCTCGCCCGCACCAGGGATGCCCAGATGGTAACTCCAAGCTACATCCCCCTCAGCCTCCCAGGGGGCTAAGATGACAAGAGCCCGCTCATCCCACACATGGGGGTTAGGGTTAGGGCGGGAGAGGTCAGATGACCTGTGCCAGTACCCAAGCAGGACCCAGAAACCCTGCTGCGGGTCTCCTCCGCGATACAGCCACGTGCCTCGGAATCTCCAGCCGCGCCTGCTGTTCCAGGGAGGGTAGTAGCAGGACTGACAGAGCGCCCAGAGTGGGCGTAGCATAGCGAGGCCCCGCCCCGGTGACGGCAGACCAGGGGGCGTGACAGCACCGCGTCGTCCCCGCCCTTCCGCGCTCCCCTGGCTG